GTGAAGGTACGTAATAATTAAAAAATTAATTGACTGATATTGAATTAAACGTTTCATAACTTTACAATATGAAGAAGTTGATAATTTAGATAAGCATGTAAATTCAGATTTACGGATTGATTCTGCATTAAACTCAATTTACAGAAAATCTCTGAACATTTCGAAGGATTATGACATGGATCACTCTTCTGAGAGCAGCAAAAATTTTCTTCTTGTGAGCTCATCTGTGAAACCAAGTCAAGTTACGTTGAGTTATGACTCGTTTTAAATTTATTACTGACGTGATTTATCTTCCAGGGACGAAAATGCAGATATTTTATTTTCATTTCTCTGTAAAATAAATAAATAAATGTCTGTTTTAAGCAATTTGATTAGGCTTCAGTGCTACATTTTTGTTCATTTACGGTTAATATAAACGCGGTTAACGTCTAATTAAGATATTATTACCAAACTGCAGAAATTCCGTTCGTTTGTGTACTAGAATATAGAAAATACATCGCTTATTATGATCAGCAATTCGGTTAACATGCTCAAAATATTATAGAATAAATTTTTAAACTAAAGTTGCTAGATAAGTTCAAAATTGATAAAAAGTTGTCAAGTGGCAGAAATATCCCAAAATAAAGGATTAAGTCTCCGCATAGCTTGTTTTCGATTTTAGTCAATTATTTCAAACTAGGCAAAGAAAAAATACCTTAATTACACATAGATTTTTATTAACTCTATTAACTTTTAGAACGATCAGACATATGTCCCTCTTCTTCAGAAATAAAAAAATATTTAAGAGCAGTTCTCTTAAATATTTTTTTTTTATTTCTGAACTAAAAATTGTTTAAAACTATCTACGCCAGAGTGAGGTTGCTTTAATGCTTAATTTAAAATTTTACATTGCTATGTTCTCTTTCAATGACAGGAACACACCAGCAGCCAAACGGTAAAGTTGCTGACTACTGGTAGTTCTATCTGAGATTTGTTTCTCGGCGAACGAGCTGGCCTAATGAGAGCTTTCTTGTCTTTACCCCATGTATAAAGTGGATAGGAGTCGGTTTCCTTAGACAGTAGTCCACGAAGACAACCTTCCCTTTTAGAGCTTTGCCATAATCAAATACCAATGAAAGATTTCGTCTGGGAAAGGCATCAGTTAAATAATTTCTCGAAAAGTTACAAATAGTTCATCAACAAACCTTTGTATTTTCCTAATTAAATTCTGTGAAAGCATCTATTTATACGCTCCAATTATTAGTCCAAAGGGGCTTTGTCCCTGACGGACTATTGTTTTCATTTTGCGATTTTGCTTTGAATCACTATAAATGTCCGTTTCACTTTTCAAACTGTTGCCACCCAATGTTAGAGTCCTGCATTACATTTGAAGAAATTAAATAAATGAAAAATCTGTATTAATGTATGTCTATTTCTCGTACTGTGATAAAACAACGGTACATAGAGCCATCGATAAAACGTAATCCTCCTACGCATATGGGCATGTGGAAGACCAAATTTGAAATTTGGAATTCGTTTTATTATCGGTTTCATATTTTGTAAACTTTAACGAATTTTTGAGTAACAAACTCAACGATTTAAAAGTGAGCAATGGCAACACTCTACGTTGAGGAAAAAAAACCTTTTTATCTCCAGCTCATCGAACTATGTATCGGAAATTCTAAAGATACGCTCATTTTAAAATTATTTTGCAATATTGCTATTGAACTGAATTTTATGGTTTAAGTGCAAAGAACATGATATTTTAATAAATAGAGGTAACACACAAAACGTTAAAAAAAGTCCTTTTGAGCTGAGTAATTTAAAATCTGAAACCTTTCAGATTTTTTAATTTTTTATTTGTATTAAATGTCGATTCCATTGCTGTTTTGAAAGATATTTCTTCTCATCGTTTAATGTTATCGAAATAACCATGGATAAACGTGATCACTTTAAGCGACGCCTTCTGCGTATGTTGCCATAATTAAAAACTTAATTTCAAGCTGGAAGAGATGTATTTTAACCATTAAATGCATGAATTAATTTTTATTTTTAAAGTAAAAATACATTAGAATTAATATCAAATAAAAGAGGAAAAATACTAAAAAAACCTAAACTAAGTTTTTATTAACTAAACTAAGTTTATTTAAAAAAGTATTATTACCGTTTACTAAAAAAATATGATAGGCAAATGTGTAATAATAATTTTATGTAATAATACATACCTTACAATTGTTCAAACAATTTCAAAACTTTGAATACATCAAAATAACAACAAACACAAAATCAAAAACTCGTAAACACAAACGATGTCCACACCCAACACATCAAATCACAATAATGACCATTACACTGTTAGTGAAGCCACCACATTGAAACATTCAAAACTATATACGTAAACAGTATATATATATATATATATATATATATAATTAGTTACATTATGAAGTGAAACTAAATTTTTTTTTTTATTTGATTTATTTGACTAAATATGAGTATGTTTCCAAATGGCAACTACATGCATTTAAGGGTTAATTTTCACAAGTTACACAGCAATTATTGAAGCGAATTAATACGGATAATTACCCCCGACCCCCACAAACTCCTAGTTGTTAAATGGGAACCCATTTCAGTTCTTTGAAACATGCTTTAATTTGTCTGAAGAATTAATTTTTCCTTAACTTTTTTAATTGGACAAATGCATTAAATGTAAAATCTTTGAGGAAAAGCTTATGGTATTTTTGGCTTCCCGCCGAAATAATAAAATTAAATAGATGGAGCTAATTAATTTCACTTAAATAAGACAAAAAAGGGGATTATTATAAAATTCAATAATATAATGATGTTTTGTTACGCAGATATAAAATCTGTTTCTTTCTTACGTCAAGATGCGATGGTCTCGTTTTAAAATTATTAGAGATGACCATCCTCTCAGAGCGTCCTTCCTTACTTCCTGTGCCCAATTCTCGCTTTAAAATTCTTTTATAAGCGATGCCCTCTCTCAACAATATTTTCCCTGTTCTCTACCTTCTCTGAGTTACCTCTTTGCTTTCTGACCTGTCATCTTCATGCCTAAACTCCTTTAAAATCCAGAATCATGACGAGCTCATCGAAATTCTTAATAGATCCCTACTTTTATGCCACGTAATTCGTGCGCATGCCGGCCCCTCCATTACTCGTATTATTATATTAGAATTATTAAGTTATTAGAACAACAGAGAGCATTCAAGAAAGTTCAAGAGTTCTTGAATTTAGTACTCCTGAGACGTCTGTTCCAGGAAAGGAGAAAATAACAGAAACTCAATGATTGAATTAAAATTAGATAATGAAAGGGGCACAACTTTCAAACAGAAAATACTCATTATTGCAGGAGTCAGACAACAAGGATGAGCGTTATATTTGTAAAATTTACAAGACTAGTTTCGATGGTTTGACTAGCATCCTTCTCAATTGCCAAAGTTCAAATGAACGACATAAGATATGGTGATAACATAAGAAAGGCTGGACCGGAGTTAAGCTACCGGCGCCATCTATTGATGAAACAAGAAAACTAACACATAATTTCCTTAAAGGCTGAAGGCAGAGATGAATTGGAATTAGGGTAGTTAACTAGAACAGAAATATTTTTTTTAGAACAGTGATTTAGAACAGTGAAACGCCTCTAGAAAGTCTAATTCACCAATAGAAGATTGCTGCAGAAAAATGGAAAGTTTGATTTTTTTTTTTTTTTGGTCAACAGTGCTGGATAACAGAGGACTTCTGTGTTTCCTTTTTCCTAAGATATGCCTGACATAACAGATTTCCTAAAGGCATTTTATATCCAGAAACATCTTTATTGCTCGAGGTAAAAATCTTAATTTTAATCCCTCTTTACCACCAGCTTTTAAACAATTTCCTTCTTAGTTGCTTTTTTTTTAAATTTTTGGTCATCAGGTTGCGCCAGTGGCTTCGTTTCCTGTCACGTGGACGGAACATTCTTGAATTTTCTGTTTTGTTCTCCTGTAGGCACATGTTTTCAGTCATTTAGACTCCTCTCGTTTTTGTCATTTTGCTGCTGATGAAAGAGGTACGACTCAGACTTCCAAACTATGGTCCTGCAAATATATTTACGTTACAGAAATTCTTAGTGCTTCTCGTGAACATTCAGTTACTCAGTTAATCCCTTTCTGTTAGAATAGATTTCTTCTTAAAAAACGATACCAGTCATTTAGTAAGTTTTAATAGTAGATTTTAAATTTAATAGCTTCAATTGCTAATTGAGTAAATTAAATGTTTAAATTGATGAATGAGTAAACTAATACAGACAACGACACCGAAGGTTAGGTCAAAATTAAGGCTAATCGGAGGACAAAAAAAAAAAAAAAAAAAAAAAAAACATACTCGATTTCAATTTGACCATTCTCAAAGTGAAGTAACTCATGTTATAACTACACAAAAGCAACATTAGTAATTTGTCTGCAAATGCAAGCAGTTAACATGTATAAAAATTTCATTTGTTTACATAAATTAAAACCATATTAAAAACAAAGAGTTTACGCTTTAAATTATATTCATCTTACAGAAAATAACAATTTCATAATTCTACAGACCAAGAAGCTCAGTTTTAAATGACTGTAACATCATCTGATATCTCTGCTGATCTGATCATCCGTCTATAACTGCTATTCCAAGCAGATCACGTTCCATTTTGTACTTTACGTAGACAGTTGTATTTTATGCTGAAAATCTCTAGTGGAGAATTTACCAAAGAAAGCTTGTCTCATGTTTATGCTACGTAAGGGGAAGCCTTTTAAGTTAGTTCGGAAATCATTTTAAGCCAGTTTTGTTTTAGTGCTGTTCGGAATATTGTAAGAACAAACTGAATTCTTGTCAAACAGAATTTGACGTACCGTTCAGCAGGTGCAAACATTACGCAATAGGTAGCTTTGCTTGTGTGAACTTGAAATGTATCTTTGCAGAACTTAATATGATCACAATATTTGAAACTAAATAATAAAGATTAAATTTAAAAGCATGCTTACCTAACTTCTAGTACTGTTATGTTCTCTATAACTTCCAGACGACCTTTAAACAACAAAAAGAGCTGAAAGAAAATTAAAGAATTGTTACAACAATGGTACGTTACAGATTTCATGCAATTACAATACTTACGTAAATAAAGAAAAACATACGTATTTAAAAAAACTTTAGCATATATATCTCCATATATATTATTAATAATTAATTTCAATTTAAATGGAAATGATAAGAAAATATTATGATGGGATATGTTTAAGTGAAATGCTATTGAAATGGGAGATTTTTAAACTTTTAAAACTTAGGTTGTACAAATTGCAGAAATAAAAAAATATTGTGCGTATTAAATTTATTGAGAAATTTTAAATATCAGTAACAAAAATATTTTACAAGAAAAATTGGTGCCATTTCCTCAGAAAGATCCGGATTTTTCAAGATGAAATAATAGTTTGTGATTACAAAATTCAAGTACCAAGTCCTTTTTAAATTAAAAATATTTTTATAAACATAAAGAACTTACTATTAAAATTAGTAACCAATTAACAAGGTTTTTGGTAATATTAGCTGAATTCAGAAGTTGTTCAACATTCGCTTGAAATCTATTTAAATTTGTTGCAGATAAAAATCATTTGTCTATGTAGGTTATATATAAAATATTATTGTAGGTTTTATATATAGACTATTATGTAGGTTTTTATATTTTGTAGGTTATATCTAGTATTTGTAAGTTATATATATTATTGTAGATTATATATGTTATTGTAGGTTATATATAGACTATTATTGTAGGTTATTAGATATATAGACTATTATTGTAGTTTATTAGATATATAGACTATTATTGTAGGTTACATATATTATTGTAAGGTTATTTGTATTGTAAGGTTTATCTTAATTTATCTAACAGTTAATTTTTAGTTGAAAGTTACTTTCCCGCCTTCCTTGAATTTCATCTTACAACTTCGGGCCAGAACGTATTTTCAGAATCGCGGTCGAATGCAAATGAGGAGAAGAAGTATTTAACTGTGAAGTTCTACTGACTTCGTTAAAGAGCCAGAGATTCTGATCAGCGCGCGTTAGCCTTTTGGCGATACTCTCTCATAAGCTATTTTTACGATCGGCCGTACTTTAGGCCCTTGATAGGTTCGCCATTAGTTAGCGTTAAGAGCCAACTCTTAGAATCTTCATAGCTTCAGCTATATCTTTTTAGTTAAGTTTTATTTCTTAGTTTCCTGTGTTCAAGCCCGAGGGGAGGCTTTATTGTAAACTCCAAGAAGGAGTCTTCTGTGAACTTTATTTGTAATAATAAAGGGTATTTAAGCCTTCCCGAGTTTCTGTTCCCTGTCTAATGAACTAAAGCGATTATTTGCTTAACTGTTCTAAAGGTACCTCAACTTTAGCTGTGAATGAAAGATAGGAATCTTACAATATATAGAATATTATTGTAGTTTATATATATTATTGTAGGTTATATATATATATATATATTATTGCAAGTTTTATATATATATATTGTTGTAGGTTATATATATTTATACGCAGTCATTAAGATGCTCGCATCTTTGCAAAGCTTCTTTTCCCAAGCTAGAAACTGCTCTGAGTAAGCATGTGGGTACCCTTACGAAGTTCTCTAGAAAGTTGATATGTCATAATAATAAATGCTGTTGAAGATCGTTCAGCAATTAGCTGAAATATATTAAAATAATTAGTTTAAAAACTTTTTAGATTCTTTGGGTAAATAAATAATGGGTAAGTAAACATTGACGTTGGGACTAATATACCCCTCCTCCCAAAAAATGTACCTAAATAAGTTTCTAGGACTTCAGTAGTAAAGGAGGCACCCCACCTATGCCTTGGCGAAATTCGGCGATATTTAAAATAAGTTTGGCGGATATTAAAGTATTAAACTATGCCAATCTTCAAAAAATGAAAAACCGTAATACGGAAGCTTAATAAATAACATTTATTTAGTAATTAGTAACAGTTATTTATATGTAACATAAAATAATATTTATTTGTCTTTGGAGAATATTTTGTCAAGCTTCTTTTTCAGGTTAGCAACTTAAATAGGGTGCGCATTTTAGAGAAAATATTAATAATGAAGAACACGAATCTCTCATCTTTCTGAAATAAAGATGAGAGAAACAATGAATGACACCACGAAGAAACTAATTTTCAAATTGACAGAAAGTTAAAAACTGCCAACATTTAAAAAAGTAATAATGAACGATAGAAGGATCTCGAGCGGTCAAAAATGAGAGGAGTACCGAATTTTCTTAGTATTCTTTATACGCTGTTTACTTATTTCTTATAATATACTACAATATTTATTAAAGTGGCTGAAAGAACAACTATAAAGTAGGCCTTACTGCATGTTCCATTTCTTTCTTGAACGTATCCATCTTCTTTCGGTCGGATAAAATGGTATTCACCTTCGGATTTGTCAACTTCAACGAGACGACATAACGTATTCTTTCTGAAATAAAGATGAGAGAAAAAGGATTTGAAACAAAATATGAAAGTTCAAGGGAAAAGAATTGGTTTTCAGTTTTTCACCTTATGGTTTTCTTTCCTAGTGACTTTTACTTCTTTCTTGTTTATTTGCCACTTCACTTGTTTATTTACTTTTTATCAGCTTAGGTGTCCTTAACGACACCAAACTCATGGAATACTCCACTGACGTCTCAGATTGCATTTTAGTTCGACAGTTTTCATCTGTTGTTTATATAAATGAAACAAGACAAAATTTACAATGACAAGTTGTGCGTTTGTGCAATTTATTTAAAAAAATTACGAACAGTTATATTTTGAGTCAACTTCTATCCTATCCTTTTTGGGTCATGTTACAGTTTTAGCTCAGACGGGAAAGTTATGCAAATTCAAAGGTTTGTAGCATAGTTTAAAAGTATGAGTTTACCAATGGTCTATTACAGCGTTCGTCACATCGCCGCTGTCTTCCTCAGCACTAGTTCCTGCTGCATAGGTTAAAGGTTAAATGCAATAAGTACCTGTATTGTAACCGATTTACGAGTTTAGAGGTAGCATGGACCTGACAGATGTTTAGCTTTGAACTGAAATTTGTTTTCGGGAAAAAAAAAACTAACATTTAGCTACAAGGGAGAGCACACAGCTTTGTAATCCTTCTAGTCCGACATATCATCGTTTTAATTTGTCTTGTAACTTTGTTTGTAAACTACCAGGAATGGATTAACAACTTTTGACTTAATTTTAATTTAGCTTGAGCCTTTTTGTTTAAAAGTAAATATATGTTTAAGGGAGATAACTCACCAGGAAGTTAAGATACCTTTCTTTGTTGGCTATTAGATTCAGTATTTACTTTAGGTTAATTTCAAAACGTAGAGTTAACAGCTTTAAGTTACATTTAAAAATTAACTTCTCATAACTATCTTCTTTTTTTTTAAGGAGCAAAATGTTGATTATTAAGCAATGGAATGAACACAAAAAATATTCATTAAACACATGCAAGTATACTAGTTTTATTTTAGCCTCAGGTCTAATCATAAAACACAAAAAACTATAAGACGAACATTTTTCACTTCTCCTGTTTTAAAAAAAAACTCTAACGAACCTGAAAAATTTATCTGATTCTCTAAAGTATTTTAGAGTTTTATTTCTTAAATTTCTCATGCAGTAAAAGAGCTATTAGTACGACATATAATAGTTTCATAACGACTGTATGAATGAAAATGGAAAGAATGAAATTAGAAGAATTAGAAAGAAACTAAATAATGTTTAGAAAGTTTGAACGAAAAGAGGAAATATAGTAAAAGAATAACAATTTGGTGATTTAAAAAACCGGTATAGTACTGTTTAGAAAGTTTAAATAGCAAAACATGAAATACTAGCAGAACTAGAAGGAGATGATTTAATATTTTGAAGAATAAAACACAAGTTATAAAACATTAGGAGAATCAGAAAATTGTTCAACAATATTTTAAATGTTTAAATTTGAAAAATAAGAAATAATATAATCTGTTACTTTAAAATAGACGCTTCAAGGCCATCGCCACCCCCTCCATTTGCGATAGCAACTCGCGTTGTCATCACTGCATAGCATTTATTTTCGTCACGTCGTTTGAGACTGTAGCTCAAGTCAGCTTTCATTCGCGGTTTTTTTTTTTTTTTTTTTTTTTTTTTCAAAAAGCGAAACACGCTGAACGGAAACGAAGTGGGAGAAAAATTAAGTGACACGAGATTTTACCCGCATCTGTTGTTCCTATGGTTACGAGTGGCATCGAGCAGCGGGAAATAACCTCGAAGCTTCTGTTTTAAAGTAGCAAACTACAGCCGTATTAGGAACCGATACATATTTTTACAGTGTATTAGTTAGCGTAGTATACCAACCGGTATAGTAGTGAGCGTAGCTGATTGCCGTGCCGAAGGGCCCGGGTTAGAATACCGGAAAAGGCAATGTTGTTTGTAATTGTATAGTATCCGTGCGGAATGGGGCACTCTAAATATGCGGCGAGCCGAAAGTCCTGTCGAGAGTTTTGTGGTATGGAAAGAGGGGGTATTAGACCCTCGGATCCGTCTCTCCCTGGGGTGCTCTCCATCAAAATTGGAAATAGAACTGATCTAAATCGCATTGTCACCTGTATGGTGCCAAGGCCTGGCCAATGACAGGCGCAAACTTGCGCTCCTTGCCAAGAGGAATTTCCTGGGCTTGGACTGACTTTGCTCAGACAAGTGAGCATCAGCAACAACAACTGTATATTTATAGTGTGTAACTTTTATAGTGTGTAAACTGACACTATAAAAGACGTCAGTGAAACAGTGAAATCGGAGGTAAGTAAAATTCTAGATTCAAATTGTAAACGACAGAAAACAAAAAAAGATAACAAATAATGGTATGTAAATCTTTTGATGCAAAAATAAAAACAATTATAGTAAACGCAGCAATATTATAAAAATTTAAATGCCAATATAATAAGCATTAATTAACAAAATTAGGAGTAAATAATAACACATTATGAAAGCTTAAATAGTAGATGTAGAACATTAGCAAAATTAGAAGCACTTGATACAGTTTATTGAAGAAAAAAAATAATTCATTAGATGCAGTTGAACGAACAATAAAATTATTCTATAACATAAATAATATTTTATGAACTTAAAACAGAATAATTCCTAATTTAAACGAAATTAGTCAGCATAAGTTCAATGCAACTTTGAGCCTACTTACAATAGAATCAAACTATTAATATGTTACTTTGCCGTGACCAAACACAAAAAAGCCATGCACGGCTTGAGACAGCTGCGGCTCGCGTGATAACTTTCTACAGGAAATGATTCGTATTTACGCGGAGCGGAGAAAATTACCAAATGCGTGAAAAAGCTCCTCTTTTCTACCGAAAATCTGATCCCAAACAAAGAGAAGCTGGAGCTGGATTATCTCTTTGATGTGAATGGTACCGCCAACAAGCAAATACCAGATAACACTAGGACATTCAACTAGTGCCCAATGACCAGAACAACGTAACACGAGTGCTTAGATTTAAGTTCGTAACTTAGAACGGAAAATTTTTATGAATAATTCTACACTGCAGGGTCTTGCTATTTGTAAAATAAGATTGATTTTTATTGCAACAAGCTTAGATTACTTTATTACAACATATCGACATTAACGTGTAGAGACATTAGGTATTTTTGGAAGCAGGAAAGATTAACAATTTGCAACGTCTTCGCCGGGAATCGAAACTCGGACCTCTGGAATACGCGCCCACCGTGCAGACCACCACACCACGAAGGCATGCCAAGAAGGCGGGAAAAATACCTTATATAGTCCCCCTTTTAAACGGCGACTGGGGTTTTTAGGGGACCCAATCGCCAAATCCCGGGTGTGGAGAAACATCATCCAAAACTCTTTTTTAGTTCGGGCACCAGTGTAGAGACATTAGGTATTTTTCTAAGCAGGCAAGATGAAAAATTAGCTACGCCTTCCCAGGGAATCGAACCCCGGACCTCTGGAATACGTACCCAGCGTGCAGACCACCACACCACGAAAGCATGGCAAGCAGGCGGGAGAAATATCTTATAAACTTACAGATTACATGTTATTGAATTATCTAGAAAGAAGAACGTCTGTTTGTGTGTTTGTTTGTTTGTTCGCGATATTCTAAGTCACTACTATATCTATCGTCGTTACCAAGCTTTCTACAATTCTTTTCGGGGTCCTGAGAAATTTCGACGTCTACTTAAAAAAAAAAAAAAAAAAAAAAAAAAAAAAAAAATTGAATCGTTTGCCTGCTACAGGTGGAACTGACAAATAGGGTTGCAACATTGCAAAACAGTGAATTAATTGGTATTGAAGGGGGCCGAATACGTTTGACCGCACATGCACTAGCATTCACATATTTCATCTGTGATTTCTCTGCCTGCGTGGATACAAACTTCTTCAAATTGCACTTTTGCCAATGTTTTAGAAATTTAAAAATCTTCTTTTTCTTTGATTTTGATTTGTGAAATTTTTGCCTGTCACTATCAATCTAATATATATGCATGCACAAATACAGAAAGGACATATAATGGCAGAAAAATTTTGAAAGAATGTGGGCTCGATCTGAAACGAACAACTCAAGATTCTATCAGAAGTTATGGAAGAAATAAAAGCACACATTTTCGTCGATTTCTAATTCGTTTTGAGATAACAATATACAAAGCTGAATGTGTATCGACTGTTTCAACTAATTTCGATTATGATCGATTAAATATAACTACAGAACTTCGATTATTTTTTTTCGAATTGTTTATTAATTTCTTGTCAATTATGACCAATGTTTTGCCACATTTAATCGACTCAAACTGAGTACAGGTGAAATACGCTAGCGGATATTAATAATGTCAGGATTTTAATGAAAATAACTCATAACTGAAGAAACATAACACCCGGTTTTAGAGAAGGATTACAGCGGTATCGTTCTCTCTGTTGTTAGATACATTACTCTCAATTTAACTTAATTGGCATCGGGTATTTTATCTAAATACAATATAAACATAGATTACTTTTCCGAGAAGAAGTAAGATAGGTGCATGATACACTGTATTAGAGTTATGTTTAAAACATATCGACAAAAATAAATTTAGAAAATTCTATCTTTATAATCCTACCTGCAGCAGTACATAGGGTGGAAAAACAATGTATTATTGGGTTGATGTGACTGAAATGTCCGATTGCAGGTACACTGGAAACATAACGTTCGGGGTACTTACATTGGCTCATGGATGTCACGTGAGCTGTATGTATGATAACATCACCACAAGTCCCCCAAAACAGGCTGTCGTTCCAAGGAAATCTATAGATGAGCGGTCTCAAACACACATTCGCGGGTCGCATGTGTCACCCGAAGCAATTTCATGTGGTTCACGAACACATTTTATTTATGAACTTGCTGCAAATACGATATTTCGAAGATTATGATTTCCATTAAAAACGAACATGGGCCCACCAGCAGAAGA